AAGACAGTTGGACCGCCTATGCCACTCAACCACCACCACCGGCTACTCGGCAGCGATTCTAACCTCGCTATCATCCAAACAAAAGCAAAAACTATAGTTCGGTGAAAATATAGGATTGATATATCAATATTATATCATGTCATATCCTCGTCCGCCTAAACTTTTCCATGATCATTTTTAGCCCATGTTGTTCATACGTACATCGGACAAAAGTCTGAATCTCAAGTCTCTGACTGCACTTTGGCTTTTGGGATTATTTTTCAGTTCATGATATTGCGCCTGTTCGATTGATGTCTTATGTGCTTCTCCCTTTCAACTCCCGTGATTTGTAACCGAACAGCGGGATTACTTGAATATTGGACTCGTCTGTGTAGTCCAAAATAAACAATATTACTGGTTGCACCTGGATGTGGCTGATATTGCAGGGGAGGAGGGAGAGAGCACGAATCCAGAAGAATATCGCACATAGTATACGGAAGAATCCCGACGAAGGGGAGGGGAGATCACATACCTCTGACGATTGGTTGTTCATCATATTCACTGTATAAGGATCGAAGACTGCTTGTGGAACGGCCAATTCAGCTTTCAGTTGACCCAGTGTGGACAGGAAATTTTGCACTAATTCCTGTTGAACGGAGGGTGCGTGAGTGTTCCAATTGTGCAAATAAGTCCATGGCTCCTCGAGAACCTTTTGATAGGCAAGGGAGTTCTGAAGACAGGCTATGTCCATGTGCGGTACGACGAACTCATCGTCGGCTCCTAACATTGATGAGTTAACAGAGATGCAAAAGGGTAGTCCAAGTTAGCTTATCAAGAGAAAAACTTAGACGAAAAACGCGTTGAGAAACTGCAAATAAAATGAAATTCGACAGTATAAAAGAAATATTTTTAAAGTTGACATGAACATCATTAGCAACAGTGCCTGGTGCCTGTGAAAAACCGAATAGGCTAATCCAAACATCGACCATCTAAATTGACATGAAAGCATTCAAGAATCACGGATGCAACAAGCAAAACAGATTTTTTTGTTCACTGATTATACTGATACTGAAGATTTTAGTTTGAAGGCTTAACACCGACTGTGGTACCAAGCTCGTCACACAGGGTTACAATCTGACCTCCGTGGTCTGTTTCCAGTAGCTGCCAGCCTGACGAGAAAGTCTACCCGGATATGTACGTACGACAAGCCACGGCCAACGTCATCCATGTTCACGAAGCACTTGCATATATGTACGATCATAACTATTTCAAGCTCTAGACTTAGTCCAAGCATGGCTTATCTGGAAGTATGCGAAAGTCTTACAAGGTAAAAGTACCGCTAGTATTATATTGTATCATACTACATACGCGCCCGAGTTCAGACTGTGCCAAAAAACCATGGTGCAATAATCTTCATAACAGGTCCATGACTTGCTAGTGGGCGGAATACCACCAGATTGGACAGGCCAAATTGCAATCTTTCTCAAGGCTTTTTGGGAGCTGATGTTGCAGACGGCACCAACTCCTATGTTGATCCTAACAGATTGTGATATTCCGCCTTTGTTCCATCAGGATTACTTACTCCTGAGAGATGCGATGTCATCGACGAAATTCGAGCCCAGTCCCATAAGTGAAGTTTGTTCTTGAAAGCATCGCAAATTTAATTGAACACACTGTGGATCTACTTACTCCACCACCACCACCACCACCACACCATCATCATCATCATTGTCATCGTACAGCGAAATACAGTGAGATGAACTTCACTGGTCCCTGCCAAATTCGTAATGCATACAAGGTTAGTGGTAATATTTAACGTGGACATGGACCTGACCTATTTGCGGGCAGGGGGAAGGTAAACCTCTATGTTCAACGCAACTGAACTCTGCATACATACGGTCTGATAGGAAGTGATAACAAGATCGCCACTGTTGCCGGTTCGCTATCATATTCTTCAATGTCTCCAACCAACCAGTTGCGGGGTCTTTCGGACCCAACATGGAAGGCGGGAGACACCAATTCTACCTAATCGCTCTGTGCATTACTCCATGCCTCGCCTCCGCGTCATCTGGTGACCTCCATGTGGCTTCCTCCAGCTCAGATCGGCTACAGCGAATAATGCGCGATGTTTCAGTTTCAGTTTGAACAACCATTAACCACGCACTTTCGTGCGCCGGTTTTCCTTGCTATCTTTTGGCTGCCCATTGGGATGAAGAATAGAAGAAAGGAAAGTTGAAAGTGGATTCGATGCGCGATGTGGCAGACGGTTGATGAGCATATGGAATACGTACCATGGCCAGCGAAGTCTACTAATCTGAATTCGGTGTACTATCAAAACCGGCGCACTATAGTGCATGGAAAAACTGAAACTAGCAGGTTTAGACCTGATAGACTTCCAAACACAACGGTTTACTTTCAGATTACTTACCCGTTGGCTCCATCCCACGTGGGCTCAAGTACGTAAACACCGATAGTCAAAAACCTTTAGACGATGGATATATACTCGCAAATCCAATGTTTCATAACCCTAAAGCAAAATTGAACGAACGGTAGCACAGTGTACACGACCTTTCAACTTCAGTGAAATGTCGCGTCTGCGCCAAAGGTGTTGCAGTCCTGCATATGCTGCTCGAGCCTTGGAAATGCGGGCGGTTATCTCCTTTGCTGCTATGGGGCTTTCCCTGTCTGCTGTTGATCGCACGAAAGTGTGCAATAAAAAAACGGTATGTGAGTAGGGTGACCTCAGTAATTTGACGTACTTCTGAGGCATTCCTTTTCGAAGGGGTTCCACCAGAACTTCGCGGTCAACTGAATCGAAGGCTCCTTTGAGGTCAAGGATCATTGCGATCGTTGGTCGACGGTGAGTATGACGCAGCTCAAGGACCTGCCGCAACGTATAAATTTGATCAATACATCCACGGCCAGGCCGGAATCCGGCTTGCTGTTCACGGATGTTGATCTCTCTTAAAGATGTCGAAGTATGACTTTGGTGACTATCGGGATCAAACTTATCCAAACTAATCAAACGAAGACCTGACACGGTCCCGTTAGGCTCCCTGGTCGAGGACCCCGAGATCATGGTCACCGATGGTTAGAGACACTGCGTGATATGGTGGGTTTCGCAAACAGTGACGCTAATGTATCTACTCATTATTCCCTTAAAACCAGTCTATATGAATTCTCCATTTTCTGCTTGAATATGCTTTCAACATTCCAATCTTCACTCTTCCCTTCTATCCAAATGGGCGACCAAAAGACAGCAACCAAACCCGGCTCACGAGTGCATGGCTAATGATTGTAAAAACTGAACTGAACTATCCCGCGGTGTTTTTCGTTGCGAGATCCTTTCTTGAAAATGGGAACGATCAGCGATTTGCCCCAAGACGAAGGAATGCGCTCTTGTGTCTAGATGTCGCGCAGTTAATTATTAATACAGTTCACGAGGTTATCACCACCCATCTTGAAAACAGTGGGAGGCAGCTCATCCGGTCCTGCTGCCCTTCCTCGCTTCAGAGCCTGAATGCAAGACCGAACTTCTGCTTCTGCTGGAGTATCATACGACACTGTCCCTTTGACTTTACCTTCAATCGACTAATCCCTGCGGGAGGGTAAATCGACTTCTTGGATGTCTCTAATAATGCATGACCATCGGTAGTAAGGTTGACGCAGTGTAAAACCCAGTTCTGGTTCCGGTTGCGAATTCCACATACAGATTGGAAGCCAAGTAATTCCAAATCCACCTTGATCGTACGAACCCAGGTCTTCAGTTGACCGCCGAGTCGGCAACGCCATCTACGGCACGGTCCGGGGCTACAGTCTGTCGCAAGAGTTGCGTCGAGCCTTCGAAGCACATGGCCAAACCACTGAAGGCGCCGGTGTTGTAGCATTTTCGAAAGCTTTTCAATGTTCAAGCAGCGCCGTCGAACCTCACCATTGGGAATCCGATCTGTCCAATTTACTATTAAGGTGCGACGTAAGCACCAATGATCAAAGACTTCGAGCTTCCTTGTATCTTGTACTCTTAACGGCCAGCTTTCACAACCATAAGTTCAACGACATCATCCGAGAACTCGAGGTCAGCAATCCACGTACCTGGGCCAAGCTGCACTCCAGGGTAGTCGATGAGTGCTTGTCGCATTATCCTGCCCAACTCCTGAGTAGTATGGCTCTAAAAGCCTGATGAACTTCTCAGGCATCCCGTTGGACCGCAATATGCACCATAAGGATTCTCTATCGACAGAGTCAAACGCAGCGCGAAGTCAGTGAAACATGCAATGGTAGGCTGTTGGAACTTGTAGCAATGTTCCAGAATCCTACGGAGAGTGAAGATTTGATCAACACAGCCCCTTCCGCGGCGGAACCCACCCCCCTCCCCTTAGTTCGGGTATCTCTGACGACTGCAAAGCGATTAAGCAATATCACTGCAAACAATTTGGCCGCAATATCAATCAGGCTGATACTCCTGTAATTCTCGCATCTAGGTCTGTCACCCTTTTTGGGAACAGGGACTAAAATTGAAGCCGTCCAATTTTTGGAAAAACTTCTCTTTCCCAAATGGTATGGTGCTGGTTCAAGACTGGCAGGAGCCTGTGCATGCACTCACCCTCTGTGGTGATCAGCCAGAAGTAGTTGTTTCAGTTTCAGTTTTTACAACCATGCACTTTGGTGCGCCGTCTTTTGGTTGACCATTCAGATAAAAGAGCAAAATGAAGATTGGAATGTCGAAGCAAATTCAAGCGGAAGAGGGGGAATTCATTTAGAGTGGTGTTAGAAGAATAACGAGTGGATGTATGAGCGTTACTGTTTACGACACCCAGCCACATCACTTAGTGTCTCCAACCATCGGTTACGATCATCCCGAGGTCCCCAGCCAGGGAGCCTAACGGGGCCTATGTGACCTAGTCTCCTGGTTAGGGTTTTCATACCCTCATGCCAGGTCATAGTTTGACCACCCTTTATCTTATTCCAATCGCTACCACCTTCGGCAAACATCGGTAGCCGCGGCAACCTGTCTGGTGACATGCGTAGCACATGTCCCAACCAGCGTAATCTATGGAGGTCGAACACTTCCTCTAGTGGACGACCGCGACAGTCTAGAACTCTACGCCTAACCTCAGCATTGCTTGTCGGGCTACTCCACAAGAAACGTGTAATGCTGCGTAGAGAGCGGTGTTCAAACGCCGACAGCCTATCTTTGTCCTGTTTTCTTAGTGGTCAAGTCTCTGCGCTGTAGAGTAGGACTGGCCGAACTGCTGCAGCATACACTCGACCCTTCACAGACACCGAATGTCGCGGCAGCGTCACAGATGTCTCGAGTTGGCAAATACCAACCGAGCCTTCTGTATGCGAGCTGACACTTCATCCGTGATGCGTCCGCCGGGTGAGATATAGCTGCTTAGATAGCAAAATTTGTCTA